TACATTAATTTTCTGTTCAATCTGAAAATAACAGAAATAATGAAATTTTTAAAAATGTATCTGAAATTTTGTCTGCGGTAGGTCTTGTTTATCAAGTTGATGAGTTCTTATCAGTAAATATTTGATAGTACAAAAAAAAAGATTTTCTTTCTTATCTTTTTTTGCAGGAGTTTTTATTGAAGAAATTGATTTATTCTGGTTATTTTCCAAAGCAATATTATTATTAATATTATTATCATGTAAAACTGTAACTTTTTCAAGCATACTCTCTAAAAAAGCATGCTTTTTCACTTTGAAATATGTCACCCATGGGTAAAAATCGTCTAAAGACGATCGTCTTTAGACGCGAATTCGTCCAATCGTCTTTCAAACGATTCAATCGGTTGCGTAGGTTAGGCGGTCGGCTGTACAGACGAAATATATATTTGAAATTCTTCTCCATTATAATAAAGAATTTCAAAAATACTTTGGAATATTTGGAATTGTCTATTATTCGAAGTAGGTAGGTATCGCCTTTAAAATGATTTTTTTAATTAATTTAATTAATAATTATGACAAAATAAAAATATTTTCTCATCGGTTAAGTTATAACTTAAAATTTTAATTAAAACGATCGTCTTTTTTCGACTATTATTTTAGACGATCGCCTTTTGTATCGTTTATCACTTTAAACGATCGTCTTTAGGGTCGGCTATTATTTTAGACGATTAAAGACGATCGTTTAAATAATTAAACGATTTCGTTTGAAAGTAGATGATCTTCTTCAGACGATCGTCTTTTTTACAAAAGATCGTTTAAAAAATTAAGCGATATCGTTTAAAAATAGACGATCTTCTTCAGACGATCGTCCGAACCATCATAGCAGTTTTTGAGATATAGTCAATTCCATATTATATGGAAAATTGAATAAATCTTAAAAACTGTCCTACTTTTATAACTTTTGACAACATATTCGGATTCAGCAGATAATTTTACATATGAATTGACTGCTAAATATCCGGGATACAAATTGCTGTTGACTAGAATTATTAGTGGCTGCTTTTTCGCTATGACAATTAGTCATTTTTAACTAATTCATTTTTAGAGAGTAGTATTTTCCATCTGGTTTTTTTTTTAAGAAAATTTGACAAATTTGTGTTCTTCGTAGCCGAAATCCTTTTTTAATGGACCGCACTTTTTATGTGGCCTATGACTGCTTGCAAATCAAACATTTGGCTTGAAACGGTTTTTTATCAACAGGAACTATGATTTTTCTTTTACTGATTAATTAATGAATTTATTACTTATGCTTTTACTGATTAATTAATTAGTTTATTAATTATGCTTTCCATTTACAAAATAAACAAATATTAATCACCCTAAAGATAAAAATAGTTATAGTCTTAGAAGGTTATAGTGATAAGTTTGACATATAGCGCTGCCATATTTTGAATAAATTAAATTTAAATTACACTCGTTAACATAAATTTTTTTATTTTTGTAGACCAGTTTTATTTATAAATAACCTGACTTTGTAGTTTTTTTGCCAATTCCCTGACATTTCCCCGACATTTCTAAACAATTTTTAATTCCCTGACATTTCCAGGTTTTCCAGATGAGTGGCAACCCTGACATTAATCTACATTTTCATCAAATTCCTTTGCTACTATGATTTGGGTTACCATCACTATCTTTTGTTTTCATAATAGCCACCATAACTTATGTAGTTTGATACATTGTTGGTTTCCTTGATTTTTTTTCTATTTAACCAAAGATGGTGGTTGTATCTCAAAATCCAGTTGGCAAAAAAACTCACAAATTGGATGATAAGGTAGATAAATGTGTATGTGTACATGTAAAACTTACTTTTTTTAAAATTATTTGAGAACCGCAGATTTTTTTTCCAATTTTTAAATGCCTGTAATTAACCTTTGTCTAATTTAACCAACCTTGTAGCTCTTCAAATAAAAAAAGATATCCTTACATAGGATACTTGGTGCACCCTGTATAGTGACATTGACGTTTACAAAATGAATAATTTTAAATATTGGAATTTAATTGTTTAAAGTAATAAAGAATGCTACTTCTCTCTTGAAACATTTTAATGTTTTTCTAATTTATTAACACCCTGTACATCTGATCTCAAATTTTTATATTGTAAATTAATTTTCTAAACAAGCATAACTTTTTATAAGAAATAACTTTTTACCGTAAAATGAATAATACAGATTTTTTTCTATAATATATTTTTAAGCTTATACTTACCTTGGCATTCAAAGTTTACATCTACAAAGCGTAAAAAAACTACATCTTGATCAAGTTTTACAAATGGTTAAATCGGGAAATCGGTTTTTGGAATCATTAACAATGTCTATTAGACTTGTAATTTGTTTATTTACAAAAATAAATTGAAACGCATATTTTTCTGGATTTAATTTAATTTAGTTATGTTATAAAAACAAAACATTTTGAATATGGGAACTTGCATGCTTTGTAAAAAAACATGCATCATCCATAAAACACATATCACAAGTTAAAAAAATAAACAAGTATAAACTTGAAACATTTCTTTCAGACCAGAAAAAACCAATTAAAACCCATTAAAACCAACCCGCCTGAAATAAGGATACAACGTTCTTCGCCACCAATTTGATTTTAAAAATTAATTTTGTATTTTATTATTAGTGTACATATTTATTTATATTTATTTATATTTATTATTATATTACTTACTTAAAATAAAACGCGTTTTATTTTAAAAAAAGTTTTTATTTCTCAAAATTTGTGTAAATTTACATTGGAAAGGTTAAGACTAGTGCTCTAAAATTTCATAAATTGTTTTCTTCTTTAATGTGTAAATTTACAGTTATTGACCAGATAGTGCTTTTATATGATTAAAATAAATTATTATTGTGTAAGGTTTACAACACCCTGTATATATTTTATATTTAAATATGTTGTTTTAATTAAACTGTACCAATAAAGTAGAATGGCTTGTGATTTTGCTTAAAATTTGGTTGACATGATTTTATGAGAAAAAATTACATATTAAAATTGGGATTTTAATTAAAATGGTTACATGGTTTTGGGAAATTTGTATTTTAATAATTTGTATTGGGTTCTACAAAAAGTTACTTAAAAATAAATTAGCCTTGATAATAATTTTTTTTATGACCACTATGTAAAAGTCACATTTCGTATTGGCATCGTTGCTTAGAAAATGAATCTTTTCATTGGCAAGGCAAAATACAAATGTAAAGTGACATTTATGTGTGAAAAGTGACAGGTCTGTGTGAAAATAAATTGACAGCATCGTTTGACATTCGTTTCAAATTTTGTATTGTATTTGTATATGTATGTCTAAATATCATTTAGAACACAATTAATTGTGTTTGTATAATAAATTCTTGTTTTTAGGGCCTTTATTTAAATTGAGAAGGTAAGTTTACTGATTTTAAGTAACTTATACCTTAAAAATTAAAAGAATAAGATGAAAGAATTTTTACAGCTGCCAAACACGTTTTTAGGTTATTTTGTTTTGTATTTGAATATAATAAAAAATAAAAGGGTCGGAGAAAAAACATTGTGTTTCACTTGTGAGAAAAGCTTTCTTCAAGCTCGTGTTAACTTAAACACTCGCATGAAAAAGTCGCTTTTCAACACTTGTAAAACAAATAACTATTACAAACATTTTTATCCTTTTTAGTCACGGTCTTGTAATTTAGCAGAATTTCAATAAGAAACAAACTAGAAACCCCAAAGAGCCCACGTCACATAAAATAAAAAATTGTCGTTAAATCAACATGTTTTCAAATCCAATGTGTATTTTAAATAAAATAATAATAAAAAAGTTTGTAATTAAATTTTCCCGAGCGTTTTAAGAAAAAAACAAACACGCTTCGCAAATATACAGGGTGTTTAAAAAACATGAGCCAATGAAAAAAATTGATATAACTGAGGTCCAAGATGCTTAGTTTTATTTAAACATTAAAAAACGGCTTTTTTAAAATATCTCTTGCCCGATTTTGTTGAAATTTGGTAACGTTATTTATACTGATAAGAAGCTAATTTTCCTTTAAAATTGTCAAATTGTTTGTTTATATATCTTTTGGCAACATTATTTATAGGTTTTGTCAATTTTCTCCAAAACTGAAGAGGCAGTTTTTTGGAAAAGGTGCAAAATATGCGTTTTGCATTTGAGTATTTCCATTGTAAAGGTGCGTTTTTTAGTGATAATAAAGTTTGTTCAGATATATCAAATTAGATGTTTAACTCAAACAAAATGTCAATAAAAACCTGTATAGCAAACCTTTTATAACGTCGCGCCAGTTACGCGATTCGTGAATCGCATAACGGGCGCGACATTAGAAAATCGGCAAATGCGACCAAGTTGGTTTCCAAAATTTTGCATGAAAGCACATAGTAATATTTTTTTATGTAAAACTTAAATAATATTAATATTATTAACCTCAAACAAGCACAAATATTTTATTTTCTAAAATTTAAAAAAAATGAAACGGATGCGACATTTGAACTTTTTATCGAGTATTGAAACTCTACCGTGTTTATTCTTAAAGTTAGCTTCTTAGCATTACAATGTACGAATATTTTAAGGTTATAAATTACTCTCAATTAAACTATTTAATATAGTTTTTAAAAACAAAACAAATTTGTTTCCCGGAAATACCCATTTTCATTCAATAATATGGTTTTTATTTTTGCTATCGAAACGATCGAGGTAAGATAGGAAAACAACTTAAGAGACAAAAAAGTTGTACTTTTAGTGGCTTAATCCTAAAAAATATAAAAATTGCAAAAAATCCGATGGCGTACATTTTTTGTCAATAATCGTTGTGCCTTCCGGGACGCCACTGGACTAGTTAAAGCCAAATTAGCTCCTTATAAGTACAAATAACTTTGCCAATTTTAACAAAATTGGGCAAACTATGTTTAAGATATTTTAAAAAAATCGTTTTTTAGATCCTAAAAAATAAGCATTTCCGGATATATATATATATATATACGTTTATTTGAGCTTTTATCCTTATTTTTGGATGACGAATCTTCAGCCGAGCACCTGTACACCCTGTTTATGTCAGGATTAATATATGTATATAAATTTGGCAACCCTTAATAGTGCAAGATGACTTAGTGAAGGTATTCTGAAGATTTTGAAAGTGCAAAACACTTTTTATATACATTGCCTTCTATGAAAAACACAATAATAATAAACAAAAACAAAAAAATAAAAAAATATATTCCTCTCTAAAAATTAAAATCCCGTAAAAATCGATTCAGTAGTTTCGGAGATTAGACCGGACAAACATTTTAACACTTTATATGTGTAGATAAAAAGTTATAACATCTAATATGAACAAGTTAAGGGTGAAAATGGTTTTTTGGATTTTCCAGCTAAACCTTTCACCTGAGGTCATAAATGATTAAAACAAACTTGTAGCTCTTAAAATTCTATAATGTGAAAAGTCTTTTGACTATCCGTATGCGTAACTTGTCTAATAAAACAGCAAAATCACATTTAAAAATTTTAGTAACAAACAATTTCAAAATTGTACCTTTGTGGTCCAAACTAAGACACACCCTGCATTTAAAAATTTTAAATTTAATTATACCTATATTTTATAATCTTAAATTAATATTTTGTATTCGTGAGGCCTCAATTCTTCAATACTGATAGTGGGCAGTGAATGATGCGAGGTTTTCGTTACCTAAAGACACTTACGGTGAAAACTATTGTATAACCAATTCGTGCATTTTTTTCTTCATGTACATTTCCAACTGCGAATAATCCAGCAGAGTATTTCTGACGAACTCGTGCAAAATGTCGGGCCACGCAGGTTCCAACTGCTTCAACTTCAAAGCGGCACCGTTCACGTCGTCCAGAAGAAAAGAAATGTGCTGTTTCGCCTTTTGTCGCAGATGATGGTCTTCCTGGCTGGGAGCGCCCTTTTTCCACTGCAAGGCCTCCTTGCTGACCACGCTTCTCAAGGCCGGATCCGCGGTCAGCAGCCATTTCTTCGCGTTGTCCTCGGTCAAGCCCCGATTCACGTCGATCCGCAAACGCTCCAACAACGGCTGCAGAAGAACATCGGGCATCGACCAGAGCACCAAGTCGCTCAAACCGCGAAACTCCTCGTTCGCGGACGCGACCTCCTCGTCCGTCACTTCCTCCCCGTTGACGCTCTTCAACCCCCAATGCGCGAGCCTATATATAGCGTAACTCCGCCATTCCTTCTCGCAGATGGGGTTCCCCTCGGGATGTATCGTCAACGACCCGATGCCCTGCACCTCGGCCAGGGCGTTCAGCTGCCCCATGCAGGCGATGTTGGTCTCCTTGAAGCTCAGATTGTCCACGTTCGGAAACTTTACCTTCAACTTGAACAGCACCCCGGCCACGCTCGGGAAGTTCACGTAGTTGAAGTTCGCGGTCGTCACGTCGTGCGCTTTGCTCGCGTTCCACGACTTTTCGACGAATCGAAGCGCGCCCTGTCCGTAGACGTTCAGATGTCTGCCGCAGATTTCTATCAGGTAGTAGCTGCCTTGCTCTCGGTCTTTGGGCGCGGGCGGCGATTGCTTCTTGACTTTCGCGGTGGCCGCTCTGACGTTGTATCTGCCGACGGTGCTCTTCGATACGAACGCGCTTTTTATGTTTCTCGTGCGCGTTTTGCTCGAGGTGGTGTTGTCGGACGAGCTGCTCGATTTCGTTTTGGCCGACGCGTTGCTGTTGGTTATTTTACTCGATAGATTGCTCGATGTTTCTGTGGAGTTTTTCGAGGGTGTTTCCACTTTTTCGACCGGTTTAGGAGCTCTAAAAGAATAAATATTTCATTAAATGTTTTTTCTTGGGTGTTTTATTATTTGTTACAGTCGCGGCCAAATCTGTATGGGCGCACGTCATCAATGCGGTATAATGACGTCAGCATTATTAACTTTAAATTGTATAGTGTAACGAAATTTGAGACGACTCAAGAGCGATCGTGGAAGTCGATCCCGATAAGCGCCAGGCTAGACATTTGTTTGTTTATGCAGGTGTCTTTTATGGATTTATCTATCTTCCCTGAGAGGCACAGGCACGACGAGGAACATTCTTAAAGGCAGTCAGAGTTCACCCTTTACTCGACACACGTTCTCTATTAATTTGTTATATAATTATATTAATCTCTTTATATTTTTAATAGTAAATAGACTTTAATTTAAACGAAAAGAGTATTATTATTCTTTCTCACAGAGCAGCGGCGGGATAGTGCTCACGGTTTTTCGTAGGAGATTGTGATATTCGTTTATAAGTGCCTAATTAACGAAAACATTAGTTTGTATTGTGTCTATGTGCATTTGTTTAAGCGCTGCAAGTTTTTGGATTACGATTAGTTTAGTGCTTTGTACTTAGTGTGTGCATTTTGAAAACAATGGGAAAACGCAGGCATAGTCGTCGTAGTCCTAGCACGACGAGTATTTCAAGTAGTGGTTCCGCACGGTCAGATAGTGATAATAACGATGCTGGTCGCTATAGACGTAGAAGCAGGAGGGCGACCCGCCGAGGGCGATATACTCCACAGGTGCAAAGCGTAGTTATAGATGTTACGCGAAAATCTAATGCTATGAATGTTCCGCAAAGTTTTTCCACACCGGTTCAGGCTGTAGACGTAGACGTTACGCAAAACAGTAGTTCCGTAGTTTCACCTCAACCTATTGCTACTCAGGTTCAGGCTTTAGTCGTAGACGATACGCAAAGCAGTAGTTCCGCTGTAGAATCAGTTGACAAGGAACGTATTAAAGTCCTTGAAAATATGGTCATGAAACTTTTGGAAAAGGATCGCACGTCACATGTCACTATAAGAGCTGACTGCATACCGGAATTTATCCCAGGTAAGCCCAATACAAGTTGTGCTAAGTGGTTGGGCAAAATAGAACAATTAGCATCGGTCAATCGTTGGAACGAAGCTACACAAATTTATCACATGCAGACCAGGCTGAAAGGTTTAGCACAGACGTGGTATCATAATTTAGATTTTTATGATTACACCTGGGTTGAATGAAAAAATCTTTTAATTAACGCATTTCCTGATCACCAAGATTTTCCATCCACACTTAAGTCGTTAATAGCTAGACACAAGTCCAGTAACGAAAAATGGACAGAATATTATTTTGAGAAAATGCAGTTACTACGCCAATGTGATATAGCGGGAAAGAATGCTGTTGCTATGATCATCGATGGCATTCACGACCCTGCCATTCAAGCAGGAGCAAAAGCAGGCCGCTACAGCACCCCTGAGGACTTGTACCGAGAGTATTTGTCCGCTTTACCTGACGAAAAAGCGTTTAAACCAGATAAAAGGCCCTCACATTTTTCATCGAAACATGACCTGGTAGACAAAAGGGCCTACGAAAAGCCGAAATCTAGGCCAAACAAATGTTATAATTGTAACGACTTTGGACATTTTCAACGCAATTGTCCTAAACCTAGAAAAGAATGTACTTTATGTAAAAGACTTGGACATGTAGTAACCGAATGTTACAAAAACAAACCAAGTACTTCAAAAAAGTGTTTGTTTGCGATACGACCCTGGACAAACGGTCTGATTCTCAAAGTTTAGGAGTCGTGTGTTACATAAATAACCTGTCACTGGATGGATTTATCGATACAGGATGCGAAATTGTCACCATACGGGAAAACGAAGCGAGAAAACTTGGTTTGAAATGGCAACCATGCGGTATTGTGATTAATGGCTATGGGGGTGGTCGAACTAGGGCCTTAGGCGAAATTACGGTTGAGTTACGAGTCGATTTATTTTCAACTCAAGTGGACGTAATAATTGTGCCCCAACAAATGCAAAATATGTCCGTTTTGATAGGGCAGACTTTTTTAAGAAAAACGGGTGCAACGTTAGTTATGAGGAACGGAGAGTTGAGAATTTTTAATTCAGAAATGGCGCTGTTGCCAGAACTCGACAACCTCCCCACATCTTTAAAATTGGTCTGCAAGAAACCAGCAGTAATACCGCCAAATCACATCGGGCTACTCACTTGTAAACCAATGGACGACTACAAAGGGGATGTATTTATTGAACGTCGACAGTCCAGTAAGCCAGGTGGCGAATACATCATACCCAGTTGTGTCACCTCAGCAAGTTTGGGAGTATTACCTATCTACAATGCCTCAGAACAACCGATGAGTTTCGACGCGGAACAATTGGTTACGAGAGGAGTTGCGTGTATTCCTGACGTAGGATGCAGCGAAAACGAGCAGGCAGACTACACCAGAAGAGCAAAAATACCATTCGTACGAACTTGAAACCCTAGCAGTAGTGTGTTCTCTACAAAAGTTCAGAGTCTACCTGTTGGGTGCCGAATTTAAAGTGGTTACAGATTGTAATGCACTTCGCACAGCTATGTCTAAACGAGACTTAATTCCGCGTATTGCAAGATGGTGGTTAGCCGTCCAAGAGTTTAATTTTATTGTAGAATATCGACCGGGTACGAAAATGAGTCATGTAGATGCCCTTAGCAGGAATCCGGTAGAAGAAAACGCAGTTTTACCTGAAATAATAAGTATTCTTGAAGTAAACATTACGGAAGATGATTGGATTTTATCAGCACAGTTACATGATGAACAATGCAAATCACTGGTTGAAATTTTATCTAAAAAGCCAATCGATGCAAACGACAAGTACGTACATAAAGAATATGCGATTAAAAACGAACGACTTTATAAGGTCACTGACCGAGGGTTACGATGGTACGTGCCAAAAAGGGCTCGCCGTATTTTAGTGTCATATTACCACGATAAACGAGGACATCTGGCTACAGATAAGACCCTTAAAGCTATGAGCGAGTGTTATTGGTTCCCGAGAATGCGAAAGTACATTAAACGGTATATAACTTGTTGTTTGGGATTAGTGAAGGGACTATTCGAATACAAATAATCGAAGTATTCGATTCTGGCGTGCATTCGAATGCATTCGATTCTCAACAAAGTATTCGAATAGTTCGAACTATTCGAATCGAATCGAATCGAAAGCGCTTGCGTGTCATCGAGCGGAAGGTGGGAGACGAGAGATTTCTCTGCATTCGAATTCACGCCAAAGTTGATTTTTTGTATCGCATGGAGAATCGGCTTGCATCGAGCTGGACCAGCACTGCTTGTGTTAATTTTAATATGTACTAAAATGTAGTAAATATAACAAAAAAATAATTATCTAACAATTATTATTAAAACTTTTTAAATGTCACAAAAATAAAACATATAACCGACGTTCCAACCAAATTAAAAATAAAGAATGTTGAATTTTGGTGACTATTTCAAAAGGTATTATTTTATTAAAAATAAAGAGCATACATTTTTACTTTATTAAAAATAGGCCATCAATTTTCGCCTATTTACAAAATCTGACAAATAATATGGTTTATGTTTTATGACAAAAATAAAGAAAGCATGTCATAAATCAATTAGTAGGTATATTAGCCGGTTTAGAATTTATATTGCACCCAGTGCGACGCCAACCCGCTTAACCCATAACGAATTGTAAACAAGAAATAAAATGACCATTCGAATACAGAGAATCGAATAGTTTGTTCCGAAAACATTCATTCAATAAATGTTTTCGGCTATTATCGGTTCCGATTCGGAACAAACTATTCGATTCTCTGCATTCGAATGATCATTCGATTCTTTAGACTATTCGAATGCAAAGTATTCGATTCTTAAAATCATTCGATTCTCCCTTCACTATTTGGGATGTTTATATAATAAAGTACCTGCGGGAAAACAAGAAGGTTTACTACACCCCATTGAGAAAGTACCACAACCGATGCACACCATTCATATTGACCATCTGGGACCTTTTGTAAAAAGTAGCAAAGGAAACAGTTACCTAATAGTTGCAGTGGATGGCTTTACGAAATATTTATGGGCAAAGGCAGTATCATCAACAAAAACGGCTCCTGTAATAAAATTTTGTGATGAAACATTTACCACTTTTGGGGTGCCTCACAGAATAATATGTGATAGAGGGACTTGTTATACGAGTAAACTTTTTCAAGACTACACGAAACGTCTTGGAATACAGGTAGTGCTAAACGCAACAGCAACGCCTAGAGCCAACGGGCAGGTTGAAAGATACAACCGTACGATCCTGAATTCCCTGTCAGCGACGGCTGACGACAAAAGAAAGTGGGATGACGTCATTGGTTCCATACGTTTTGGAATAATTGCGGCAGTGCAGAGCGTTACGGGTAAAAGCCCACACGAGCTTCTTTTCGGGTATAAACCTAAGGGAATCCACGACGCATTTCTGGCTCATGAAGTCGAACAGAACGAAAATGTTGACCACGATATGAGTACGGTTAGAGAAGAAGCTACACGACGGATAACGGCTGCACAGTCAAAGCAAAAAGCATATTACGATGCTAAACCTAAAAAGCCTATTGTATACGACGTAGGTGAGCAGGTACTCCTACGAAGGAATTCTTTTACTAACGAGGGTAAAAGTAAGAAACTGCTACCTAAATACAGCGGTCCATACGTTGTGACCAAAGTGCTTAATCACGATAGGTACCTGATAAACGATTTACCGGGCACACGACGAGCACGGAAAAAGTATCAGGGTGTATGTCCTGCAGATAAATTAAAGCCATACATTGCTACGCACGATTGTAGTAGTGACGACTCAAACTCAGGTTCTGACGTAGAACTCGTGAGTGAGTAAAAGGACTAAACGAAATTTATGCTGCAGACAAGACGAAGCTCTACACTACGCACGATTGTAGTAAAAACGATTCAGACTTAAATTCTGACGTAGAATTTAAGAA